CCGGGGGAGGGAGTGGGGGGTTTCACTTCCGGGACGGTGTTCCGGCCCATTCCGGCCCATTTCCACCCCCGGAGGTAGGTGCTGCTCCTTGACTGGGCTTGGGCCCCGCACGCCGGTCCCGCTGCCCTTCACCGGGGCCGCCTTGCTGGGTCTCCGCCGCAGCCTGCTCGTAGGGCGCTCAGCCACATCCCTTCAGACCCCCTCAAGGCACCCGGAGACCTTCCACCCCCTTGGCCCCGGGCCGGGCTCAGCTGCCGGACCCGCCCCCTCGCCGGGCCCCTCCCTCAGGACCCCGGGATGGGCGGCCCCCTCCCCCACCGCAGCCCGGACACACCCAGATACACACACCCACCTCTGGGCAGCTCCCCGCCCGCCTACGTCTACCGCCTAGACCCGGTCCCGGGGCGCCGCCCCCTTCCCGGTCCTTTACCCTCACCTGACTGCTCGCTCCCCGGCCCCATGCCTTGCTCCCCGCGCCTCGGTGACATCTCCCCCCTCAGCCAGTGCCCCGCTCCCCACGCTCCCTAACGCGGACGAAAGCCGCTCAAGTACCGGAGTGGCCAACCCCATGCCGTTCCCGATTCTCCCTCTTACAGCTCTCACCCTTCCAGTGCCGACGGTAGAGAAAGACCTTACTCCAGGGGCTTCCTCCTCACTGGGGAATTGCCGGAAGGAGCAAACAAAAAAGGCGCTGGTGTAGGCTCCAAAATAAACACATCTGAATTCATGATGGCATCGACAGAGGCTCTTATTGGATTAAAAGTTTCAAAACAAACAAAAACGCTTTGGAAAAAGGTCAGATTGGCTAAAGTTGTTCTTGAAAGCAGTGTATACACTTCCCTATTTACTGATGAGTGTGTGGTAAATTCATGGCAATACTGTGAGCTTGTCAGGATAAGTTCCTGAAGTTGCAGGTCCTTATAAGTTTATAGATAAGTGGAAACACACTGGACTCGAGTCAATGTCTTCCTATTGGGGTTTATACAGACTGTACTTGCAACCACTGAAGACTGTCAGATGCAGGTATAGGCTTAGTGTTTTAGCTAGTTTTTAAAAATCTTTTAATGTAAAAACATTGGCCATGTTTGGTAAATGCTCAACTTCTTAGCAGCTTTGGGGAACTAAATTTCAGAATCAAAGTATCACCACCACCCTGCAATTCCCAACTTTGAATTTAGATAGAGGCAGTTGTACCTACCCTTTCCAAATTCTGAGTGAACTTCTTCTGGTTCTCTGCATCTTGATTAATTCCTGACACAGCTGTGGCATTTTTCCTAACCTGTAGTTTGCCTCCGACTTCTGAACCCAAAGCCCTTCTGGGGGGCCTCTGACTCTTAAGCTTAGAAATATTGGCTTACATTCATGTGTCATGTGGGATATTAGTCACTTTATAAAATAATAAACATAACTTATGCAGCAGGTAGTAAAATATTAAGAGCAATATCTAATCAACCCACCAGAATATAATTACATTTATTCAAAAAGCTTCTTTCTTTTCTCCTCCAAAGAGTAGTTGTCACAGGATGTTATATTCAGTGTGCAAATACCTTATGATTAACATTTAAAAAAACTGTCACAACCGCTTTTTTCCCCTCTATTCTGTTGACCTTCTGTTTTGATGTTGCATAGCTTATTAGTAAGGAAAGTATGGGCATAGCTTGAATTTTTAGAAGTCTAACAATCACTTTTCGGTTAACTTGAACAGTGTCTCGCTGTGAAACCTAAACTGAAAAACCTGTTGGTACTTTTGTCCCACATCTAAACATAAGGAAGATATCTCTTTTTGCTTGGAGATTTTGAAATTTTACCGAATAATATTTTTAAATATGTTTGAATTAGAAAGCATGAGGGGAGTGAAATTATAATTATTAATGGGAATATGGTTTCCTCTTTCAGCAGGGTTGAATGCCTGCCTACAGCCTCAGGCACAACCATGGAGAAAGGAGGGAACATACAACTGGAGATCCCGGACTTCAGCAACTCTGTCCTGAGCCATCTAAACCAGCTGCGCATGCAGGGCCGTCTCTGTGATATCGTGGTCAATGTGCAAGGACAAGCTTTTCGGGCTCACAAAGTGGTACTAGCTGCCAGCTCCCCCTATTTCCGAGATCACATGTCCTTGAATGAGATGAGTACTGTCTCCATTTCAGTCATCAAGAACCCTACTGTTTTTGAACAGCTCCTTTCTTTCTGTTATACAGGGCGGATATGCCTGCAACTGGCAGATATCATCAGCTACCTGACAGCTGCCAGTTTTCTGCAGATGCAGCATATTATAGACAAATGTACACAGATCCTGGAGGGCATTCATTTCAAAATTAACGTGGCTGAGGTTGAAGCAGAATTAAGTCAAACGAGGACAAAGCATCCAGAGAGACCTCCAGAGTCTCACAGGGTCACACCAAATCTAAACCGCTCCCTTAGTCCACGACATAATACGCCAAAGGGAAACCGGCGAGGTCAGGTTAGTGCTGTGCTGGATATCAGGGAGCTCAGTCCTCCTGAGGAGTCCACCAGCCCTCAGATAATTGAACAGAGTTCTGATGTCGAGAGCCGGGAGCCCATTCTTCGGATCAACCGAGCAGGACAGTGGTACGTGGAGACAGGAGTAGCAGACCGAGGGGCCCGGAGTGACGATGAAGTGAGGGTTCTTGGAGCAGTACACATCAAAACTGAAAATCTGGAGGAGTGGCTTGGGCCTGAGAATCAGCCTTCTGGAGAAGATGGGAGTAGTGCAGAGGAAGTCACAGCCATGGTGATTGACACCACCGGCCATGGTTCTGTAGGACAGGAAAATTACACTTTAGGATCTTCAGGAGCCAAGGTGGCTCGGCCAACAAGCAGTGAAATTGACAGGTAAGTTTAGTTTTGTTTGCCCATCTCTAACAGCTGTTGTGCAACCGTCACTAAAGCGGGCCCTCTGTGTGGTACAGAGAGCATCTTCCTTACTTGATGTTCTTAGCCAAAGTAAGTTGATGTTGGGGAAACTAGAGGTGTGCCAAAAGACTTGCATTCTTATTTTTTTAAAGCAGGAAGCTCCTAGTCCTGAAGTGTTCACAGTGTTGTGAGAACTATGGTAAAGTTAGACACTTCCATGAATCAGGATAGCATCTGCAGCCACACTAGGATCAGTAATTGCCAGGGCTTCCTCGGAATTCCAGGCAGGGAGCTGATCATCAGCTGGGAGCCTGGCAGCATTGCCCTTCCTTGGTATGTTATCACACAGGTAGGTGGCCCCGGGGATCCTCACTTTCTTTTGTAGCACTGCTTACTTTTCTTTGCCCCAGCCTACGAAATTAGACAAAGTATGGTACCAGCAGTGATTGTTCTTTTTAAATGAGTGTAATCACTGTAATTCCAAGGAAAAGCTTTTTGGATGTTTTTATTCCTTTTTTCACTTGTCATTTGATGATAGCTTACCAGTTTTCTTTCATTGATGACTGCTGCTACCACAAGCCTGAGAGTCTCTTTTTTCCACCGGTGCTACTATGCCCTATGCCTCACTTTTCTCTTTCTAATACATTGCAGTTAAAACATTTCTTTTTGATGGAAATAACAATAGTTTTAATCTAAGTAAACTGAAAGAGAGAATATTACCAACTTAGATTGGTAATATTTGTTCTTTTCCTCTCTTAAAAATATATTAAAATTGACTGCATAAGCGATGAAAACTAAAGAAGCTATTACTCTGGTTCACACCTGGTCTTGACAGATATATGTGTTACAGAAATTGAGAGAGTATATACTGTATCCACTTCAAGTGATCTTGATTTTTTTCCTTCTTGTGTCCTTAATAGTTAAAATATTCTTGAGCACAATACTTATTGTCTCCCTGTTAGAACTGTTGTCCCCCTATGTTAGAACTGTATCAGAATAGCTTAAATGCAAAGATTTTTAATTTCCATGATCTGTATCAACAGTCTGAAATATGTAACAAGTTATCATGGGGCTAGGAAGAACCAAAACCCTAACAGTTACATAAAAGAAACAAAATTATAGATCCAGTTTAATTTATTTTTTTACGGTCTCCCAGTACTTACATAAGGATAGAAGGTTTTATTTTGTCTTAGGTTCACCAGGTTGTATGATCTATCTGCAATGTTATTTTTTATTTCTTAAATTTACTAGGGCAAACCTTTGTTATTTCAAATCAGATCCTGTATTGATTCTGTGAAAGTATGTCTTAAGTAATCTGTTGTTCAGTTTGTTCCCCCTTCCTCAGCCGTGGGATAAAGAGGGTAGACATGACCATTTTTTTAAGTTCCTTTTCTATTAGTCCCCTTTTCGTTCCTCTTCCGGCAGATTTAGCCCCTCCGGCAGTGTTGTTCCCTTGACGGAGAGACACAGAGCCAGAAGTGAGTCTCCTGGGAGAACAGATGAACCTAAGCAGCCCAGCTCCCAGGTATGTAGTTGTGGGTTTAGGATTGCTGCAGGGGTTGAAGCAGTTGCCACTGTGTGTGAGCAGAACGTAAGGAATAAGATGGGACAGGTGAAGATGCAGGAGAGGTGACAGTGGTCCTGTTAAATAAACACTTGATTTGATTACTTTCTTTATTCTTGCTTGTGAGCATGCAGGAAATACACTTTTGGTATCAGCAGAGTTTGGGAAGTAGAAAAAATACGATTGGGGAACTCTTTCCTGATTATAGAAACCAATCTATAGTCCTGAGAGTAGTGGAACTAACCCCTGAAAACTAATAGCTCCTAGTCTGTCTGCCCTAACTAGCCCAGTCCTCTTTGACCTCTCCTTCTTAAATCACTGTAGCGTTTATAGATGGATGACCTCCGATGGAGAAAGTCTGATTTTGTACATGTGTGGGTATATATTACTACATAGTTACTAATTTATATAGTATTATATATCTGTAAACAAATTGCTTATGCATTTTTGTGTGTTTACTTTTTTGTATGCTTGTATCTTTTCATTTATTTTCTTCCTAAATCTTTTGCTAGACAAAAATGTTCTAAAAATTATAGGAATGATGTCTTCTATTTTCTTTGCAACTCTCCTTAGCAAGTATTATAAGTAATTGGTTGATATTTTTGTTTTTTTTTCCTCACAGGTCTCTATCATTGATTTTTAAACAGATGGTGAACTCACCAAGTAGAACACAATAAGTGTAAACACTTTTGCCTTTTAAAAGGAAACACTGGTGGATTAAGATTACATAGCTAATTATTTTTAGCTTCTGCATTATACTGATAGTATTTTAATTTTTATCTAAACCATTGGATGTTTATTGTGTACATAGTATAGTGACAGCAGCAAGACATTGTTACAAACTGTATTTACTTGCATATTATCATGCCGGCTTTTCAGTACCAGAAAAGAAATTGTAATTGTTACAAGAGAATTTTTTATTTTTAATAAAGTGTTAGAGAAAATGTTAGGAGCTTGGAGGAAAAGTGAGTTTGCTCATATAATTAGGGCCCTTTTTCTCCTCATTTCTCAAATAGGATGTGATGACTATGTGAAGGTGACTATTGTGCAAGTAAATACGGCAGTGAGACAGACCTTACAACTTAATAAGAGGATAAGACAAACTAATAAATACACAATACACATATAGATAAGACCATATAGACTTCAGTGACAGTATTGTGGGAATAAGAGTGCTTAAAAGGCAATTACTGTAATCAGTATCCACTTAAGGAAAGTCTTTGCAGGAAAGTTTAAATGCAGTTTTTAAAGAAGTAGTTAGAAAGAGATAACTTATTTCATATGTAGCAGAGATAGGGATAAAAACTGGAATTCTACAGGGGTGTTTACCTGACTGAAGCAGAAGGTACAGGCTATAAAGAAATAGGAGATAAATATTATTGTCTAGAGATGATATTAAGAGATGAGTTAATATATGCCTTAATGTATATGAAAGTTTATTATGGTGAGTCTATTCACAGTTATTTTTTCCCTGCCACAGAGATCCAAAACAGGACATGGACTTACATTACAGGAAGAACAAATTCTGGTAAACTTGAAGAGCTTCCTGATTATAAGGGTGATTAAACTGAAACAGACTACTAAGGTCACTTATTTACTCAAAAACGTTCTGTGGCTTTTTTTATTTTTCTACCACATGAAGGTTAAAATACTTAGCCTCATTTTCCAAGTAATTTATAATCTTTCTAACTCACCTTTTCCCACCATTCACTGGCATTCACTGTCTGTCCCAAATAGGCAGGCTTTCCCTGTGTGTCAGAACCACATCAAGCATTCCTGTCTCTGCACCTTGAATCTGGGGTACCCTGTTCTTCCCAGGTGTCTGGGTCCACCCAAGGCCCAGCTCCTAGTCCATCTGCCCTACCTAGCCCAGTCCTCTGTGATCTCTCCTTCTTAAATCACTGTAGCATTTACAGATGGATGATATAATTTTTCCTAGTTCTCTGCTGACTTATAAATTCTTCTTTGTCTATTTCCATTAATTTCGTGTCTCCTTCTAGATTGAAATCTCCTTGAGAGCAGAGTCCACATTTTCTAGTCTTTGTATATGACGGTGTCTTATCAGGTGCCCAATAAATAGGAGTTGTTTACCTCTAGGTAATTCTGAGTAACTAAGGTTCCTTAATAGATGCCCAATAAAGAGGCAGCTACTAAATAAAGTATTATTTAGTTGTCTGTGGAATCCCCAGTTTGGGAGATCTTTAAAAAAAATAAAATTAGTGAACCAAATCAGATGATTTTTGAAGTCCCATCAATTCTTTGAGTCTCTGATTAGTAATTGCAGATTAGGGTGGTAGATGGCTTTAAAGGAGACATCAAGAATCTAGACTGTTATTTGTTTTAGAAAATATGGAAATCATTCATTTATATGGAATAATTCGTTAAAAAATAGTTGTTGAACACCTGCTACGTACCAGGTACTGAGCAAGTTCTGGGATATTCTGCAATGCAGAATGTCCCTGTGCTTACAGAGTTTACAATGTAATAGGGAATTGCCAAGTGGGGGGAGTGAAATGATCTACCTGTTAGTGACAGAGACAACCAGGAGGCAGCCATTTTTGTTCCTGCTTCTTTTTAAAGTTCAACAGAGGGCCGGCCCTGTGGCTTAGCGGTTAAGTGCTCGCGCTCCGCTGCTGGCGGCCCGGGTTCAGTCCCGGGTGCGCACCGACGCACCGCTTCTCCGGCCATGCTGAGGCCGCATCCCACATACAGCAACTAGAAGGATGTGCAGCTATGACATACAACTATCTACTGGGGC